ATAGTTCCCCGGAGTTATCAGTTGATGAGAGACAGGCTTTATCAACTTTTGCAACTGACTATCAGGACGTGTTGCTTGCACGGTGGCGTAATGTCGTTGATACATTTGAGGTTGAGGCTCAGTCATACGAGAATGAGACAGGCTTATCTGTAGGGACCTTACAGGCTGATAGTAATTCTCAGGAGCCATTAGATTGGGATGATCTGTTGCCGTTTCTACTAATGGCTTATAGGGCTAGTGTTCATGATAGTACGGGTTGTAGTCCTAACTTGCTTATGACAGGTAGGGAAGTCAGGATGCCTTTAGATCTTATGGTGGGTGACCCACCGGGAGTTCGACACGCTGACTGTCCAGTCGAGTATGTCGAGTGGTTGCAGAGGTCAGTACAAAAGTGCTTTAAGTTTGCCAATAAAAATCTTGGAGTTTCCGCTAGTCTACAAAAGAAACATTATGACATTAATGTGAAGAGTAAGGATTTTGTAGAAGGTCAGTGGGTTTGGCGTTGGTATCCTCCAAAAGCAGGTCAGAAGCTGGAATTGGGTTGGACTGGTCCCTATCTTGTTTGTGGGAAGTTATCATCTCTTACCTACAAAATACAAAAAGATAGCAGAAGACCATGCATAAGTGTACATGTGGATCACTTAAAGCTGTATGAGGGAAATGATTCACCTAGGAATTGGCTCTTGGAGCAGACTGCTGAGGACACAAGGGAGATAACTATGGAGGATGAGGAGTCATTGTCTCCTATCCAGGCAACTGGGCTTTATTCTTTAGGTAGTGATAGTGGGGAGCAAGTGCTTCATACCCGCTGTGGGAGGAGGGTCAAACCCTGGGATCTGTAATCACCTTCCTAAGGTTAAACCCAGATCCTGGGAAGACCTTTGTTTGTTTTGTTTTTAGTTATTTGTTGATGGGGAGTATTTTCTGTCTGTAGTAGAAAATGGAGATCGCAGTGACGAAAGAAGAGATTAAGGCGTTTGAGGAGAGTCTGAGGGAACCATTCCCGCCGGGAGGCATGCCTTGCCCCGTCACCACCTGTGGGCCAGCGGTGTTCCAGCGATGGAACACCCTTATGGATCATTGGCAGCGGCGTCACTTGGCTGTCAGGAAATTCTACCAGTGTTCAAGATGTGGACGCCGGGATAGGACAAGAGGCCACGCCAAACGTCATTTAAGGCAGCATCCCCCAGGTACGGACCTGAAGGTCACGGAGGCTCCCAACCCGGAGTACATCGACCCTGGAAATGCCCTGCCACCTGCACATCCAGAGTCCCGTAATGTCGCCCGGGAGCAGGAGCAAGCTCGCCGACGAAGCTTGACTTCCAGAGCAGTCAGCCGGGAAGAGCAATTTGACAGAGACATGGAATACCTTTGTGCGTTGAAAATGGACGATTAAGTTGGTGTACATCTTTTTGGCTGGGATCCTTATTTTAAAAGTAATTTTATTACTTTTTGTTCAAGGGGGAAGAATGTAACGGGGGATAAGTTTAATAGTTGCTATGGATATTAGGAAGGGTTGGGCTGGCATTAGTAATTTAGCTGGGGGTATAAATCATACATTTTGGGGATATGAAACGGATTTTTCTTACCGGTGTTTGCGGGGACATGCGGGTTACGGCTGTCGCAGGTTGTTTGGTTTAGCTTGCCGTTTCGGCACAGCGATTGGTTGCACGCACTGGAAGGTTCCATTCCAAGGGTAGGGGTGTGCTCCTCGCTTAGTGGGACAGGCCCGCTATTGCGTATATAAGGAGCGCGCGACAGGTGTTTTATTGTCTGAGTTGGAGACACCCGAGGATAGGTGAGCCCTTGTTTCGAGACGAAACAGCTTCCCAGTTGCTTTGCGATAAAGTAGAATTTGCTCCGTGACGGACCAGTCCTTGTTTCGAGACGAAACAGTTGACCCCCCTCTCACGGCGAAGCACTTAGGAGGGTAGGCATAGGTATAGGTGGGTGGGGGGAATAAAGGTATTTAGTTTTTAGGGATATATTTATATAGATATACAGGGTAATGGTTAGGAAGCTGGAAGGACGGGTGGTTTTATAAACTAACTACCGCTGTTAAAGACAGCTGTAGTATGCTAGATTTATCTTAGGTCGGGATTAGGTGGGGATCGTGTTTGTTAATTTAATGTAGATGTTTGTTGAAACTTCCCAGAACTATATTTTGTTATGTTTGGAGTTTGTGTTTTGGGGAAAATAAAATGGTGATATAAATTTTGTCCTATGTCCTGAATTGCAAGGCTGCATCTCGTAACTGGGAAACAGCGTGGAGGAGAATTCTGCTCACGGATTTACGGATTTATACCTGGAGCATACCCTCTTGTGGTAAACATGCCAGTTGAAAGGGAAAAACACAACGCAAAGTATAATCACACATTGAACATGTAGTTTCCACAAGACAGAGCAAACCACGCCTGTTACATTAGCATCACATCAAGTTTTTGTACTGCGGCAGTAAGATTTTCTCTTCTTCGTATGTTGGTAGAAATGTATGTTGTGTTATTACAGGTTCACCAATGTTGTTTGCAGATGGCCAGGCGCAACGCATGATAGCTACATCTTTAATAATAATACAATTGGAAACTACCTTGAAGAGTCTGGAGGTAGAAATTGATGGTTGTTTGGAGATTCAGGGTAAATTTGATTATCATTTTGGAATAACATAGCTTAAAATGGGTGAAGTTTCATAAATAAAATATAATGTACTTGATAATTCCATTTACTAAGAGTAAGAATACATCCAGTATAAATTTGTGTTGTATATACTAACATTGTCTTCATATTTCTCTTATAAATCATTTGCGTGTATATCTACAAAATCTTTCAGATATGCCTGCAGACCATGGATGGTCACCCCCCTGAGCAACCTCCAGACACAGGGAGAGGAGAGATTTAACCGATCGCTGTGTAAAATAAGGAACACAGTGGAAAGAGCTTTTGGCCTAATGAAGTCTCGGTTTCGGTTAGTTCGATTATCATAATGAAAATAATATTTCAGAATAAGAAAAGTAAATAATTAAAAATATATAATTTCAAGGTGTTAAACACAAAGATTAAAATTTCATTTATCTCAAAACTGAAGGCATGAAACTGTCATTTACTTAAAAAGAATTAAACCATTTTGAAAAATGAAGTTTAAATTAAAGTAAGAAAATATTGGAAAAATTATCCATATATTTATTGTCTGATAGAGTAAGGAGACTATCTTTTTACAAATATATCGCCAAAACCTATAAATTGAACTTTCAATAACTGAGGTATCGATAAATTGATATAGCTTTAACATAAATGTAGCAGGTTCTCTTTAATAATTAGATGCCTACACAAGTCAACGGGCTACCTGCCTTTCAAGCCAGACAAGTGTCATCGGCTCGTGTATGCTGTGTGCCAGCTACACAACCTGTGTATCAACCATCGCCTTCCTCCCATGCCAGCCCTACCTGCAGAAGATGGCAAGGACCAGCCATATGATGCTCCACTTAGAGACGGACACCAGACAAGGAAACGCTTGATAGAAAGCACTTTCAACTAACATATATGGTAAGATTTTACAACAGTTCATTTGTTTTCCTTGTAGATGTCGGCATGAAAAGAAATAAATAACCATGTTTTGATAAAAATATAATCTTTTAATAAATTTAACAATGGAAAATACACTAAATAACATATGTTATGAATGTACACTTTATTTTGATAAGGACTTGTTGTATTTGTAAATAGGAACATTGCAAAGCATCATTAAATAGGTTCATTTTTTCAAATTTCTGGGTTATCCAAAGGCACCAACTTCAACTTCATTTACACATCAACTGAATGTGTATTTCATAACAAATTTCATCCAAACATTTTATTTCTTAAGTAAATTTAGTATCATTAAAATATCAAAATATATAATTTTTTCAATCTTCTTAATAATTAATTTCAAGGATATATTTCAAAATATGATATCAAGAGAATTCAATGCCATAACAAGTTCACCATATGAATAATCAAAATACATTTGTACCTCACATACATTGCAAGTTTGTCAATTGCCAATATCATGACTGACTGAGTTTGGTTTTACACCGCTTTTAGCAATATTCCAGCAACATCACGGCGGGGGACACCAGAAATGGGCTTCACACATTGTACCCATGTGGGGATTTGAACCCGGGTCTTCAGCATGACGAGCCAACGCTTTAACCACTAGGCTACCCCACCGCCCCCATATCATGAATCGTTGGAGCAATGTAAAATTAAATCTGGTAATCAATCATAACATTATTCTGCAGATAAGGAAAATAGGACTTAGATGATAAATTTCATCAAAAGACACCATTGAACCATCTATGGAATGTTTCAGTAAAATATTCAGTAAAATAACAGTTGATGTTTGAGATATGCATGGCATAAACATGGGACGGATTGAGTGAAAAACAATTTAAGGGACATGTATTCCAACTCCTGTGCAAGTGCTGGTACAATGAATAGATTCATTTCTACAAAACCATTATATCAGCAGACACAAGGAAGTTTTATTCAGTATTTTAGCCCATATGACTTGTAGTTGTTTTACACTGTACAGTTTAGTTAAAATAGAAATATACATACATAAATGAACTCCTATTTGCAAAAATAATATTAGATTGATATTTCTTGAGTTTAATAAGTTTTCCATTAGTTGATCATTTTTGTGCAAAGTTATGAACATAGGGAGGTATCTGTTTCTAAGAAAATTAAAACTTTTACAAATGTAAAGTTCATGACACTCATCCTTGACATTGCCTTCATGACAATAATGACATAAACTATTATTGTTATCATGTACATTTCTCTTTCTAAGATTTAAGACATTAAATTTTTGTAATGATATTTGTAATGTAACATATGTTTTATTTGGGATTACTCTTTATTAGTGTCATAATGATATTTGTAAGGTTCAGCTTAAAACAATATCATTTGTTACCTTCAATTTGTGACTGTTTTTGCTCAATGATTTTCAAAACCTTTGCAAGAAATTAATTTATGGTGTTGATGATTCTTTGTTATAAAGTGTAATAAATATTATAACATGGGGTTCTAAAAAGAATATGAGTTTAATAGAATGAATCTTTTTCAGAGTATCACTGACAGCCTAAATGCTGGGGGCTCAGTGAAAACGACCAAAGAAGAAATCGAAAAGAAGTGGAAGAATATTAAAAGAAGCGGCAAGCAGAGTTATTCAACCTTCCACAGGGCGACAACAACTACTGGTATGTATGGAACACCTATTAATTATTTTTCATCACAATATCATCCAATTAAAATGTCTATAATATTGATGTCTGTAACATATAGATTATACAGAACCTATTTGACTTTAAAAATCACTGTCTATGTATTATGAAATTGATCAATAGAATTTGTTTTTCAGGCGGCGGTCCTCCACCAACACCACTCAGTCCTGTTACTGCCAATGTCATTGACGTCATTGGGAGAGACAATGAAATCCTAACAGGGATTATTCAGACCATGGACTCCACAATGCTGCAAATCTTGAATATGCAACCAGCTCAACAAGGGTATGTGACATAGGAAATTAAATGTGTCAATACAGAAATGTACAAGTAATATATTCTGATTAAGAAAAGCCAAAATTAAATGAATCAATTTGGATTAAGGATATCAAAAAGTATACACAAATGTATAATGTATTGAAGTAACAGTGAACACTGTAACAAATATTAATATTCATTATTATAATTTCAATATTGATTCGGGATGGGATTGGGTGGTTAACGTGTACATCTACGGATCAAGAGGTATGTGGATCAAATCCTGATTATAGTTGTATCGTACATAATGCCACATCTCTAATGCTAAAATTAAAAGAATTCATAGATCCTTTTTCACTTTGTTTGATAGTTTCAAAATTATTCTGATATTCAAAAGCATGTAAAACAATAATTAGACCCCCCAAAATCCCAAAATTTATTTTTGATAAAAGTGTCCAAAATAAATTCCAATATTTTAATTTATAACAGTGTCTTAAAGAATGTCCAATATTATAATCTATTTCATTGTTCCCTGTCCCATTTGTCAAATAATTTACAATTCAATCAAAATAATTATATTCAGGAGTTTGTGAGACTGAAAAGAGAAGAAAAACATATTTCACTTCATTATTTTATTAATTCTGCATTTCAATTTCACAAACTTTATCCATTGCAGATTTTGTGAACAAGTTTGTGAACCAGCACAGGTCTTTCACATTCCAAGTTCATCACCTCAGCTCTATCAACAGGTCCCACCACAACCCTCAGCTGCCTCATGCTCTGATGAGAGAAAAACTGCAGTAAGAGGTGGAATGTCTTCAGTTAATTAAGCGCTACCTCAAGCAGAAACTTAAATGGAAGGGTGATTAACAATTGGCTTTGATTAAACTTTGAAACTGAACCGATTGTATGTTTTCATTTTAAATGAACTTATTGGTTGCTCAATTTATAAGCAAGATTTAAGAATGTCATGCAGTCTGTGAATTTAGGATTTAGGATCAGCGTATTCATGCCTACAAATTCCTTCAAATGATCTTGTAATTTCATCTCAGTGAAAATTTACAAGGATTCGCTATTATTATATTTAAAATGTAGTCATTTGGTAATTTCTGGAGAAAAAGGGGGACCATATCCACAAAACAGCCCATTTTGCGTATCGTCATGATATATTGCAGTAATGAAACTTTTTGTATATATTTGATTAATAAGAGGAAAAATACTAATTAAAAAGATATTTTTGAAATACTCACAAGGAAAGTTTGTAATTGCGAACTGTTCCCGGTATCGAACTCCCATGATACCCTGTGCAGGCAGAACTAGTTGTCCATGTTGTGGGGGAGAGTTGACCCTGTGGTTGCCATCAAGGTTTGGAAGAGGAATATTCCTGGTTTCGCAAATATTATGCAATACAGCACATGCAGTGATGACCTAAATGGAAACCCAGCTTTATAAAGTTATATATCATATGAATTTCTTGCTCATAAAATTTTCAGATCTTAAATTCACAATTAATGATGTTATCGTTCTTATTACAAATCACATTTACAACATTTTGTGGCATAACACATTTTCACATAAAAACACACATATATATATATATATATATATATATACCTTTCAGATAATACATAACATGTTCTTGATTGAAAAAAACCCTGTATTGACACAAACAGATCCATGGTCATTACTTATATATCTTTTAAAAATGATACATTGAATAAAAGCCAATAAAAGAAAAATATGTAATTACTTTGCTTGCTCTCTCATATCTCCATGAAGGACACTGAACCTTCTTTTCAGCTGACCAAATCCTCTCTCCACTGAACTTCTTGTTACAACAGCAGCTCAACAAGATTTCTTGTCATTTTCAATTTGTAGCAAAACCAACTGCTGCTGTAACTTTGCCAATTTAGTCTGTTCCTGAATGAGAACTCTATTTTCCTTTACCCTTTCCAGTTCTTCTTTCAAAATCAAATCTTCAGTCCTAGCTTTTGATTTTGTTGGGTTAACAATACCAGTATCAATAAATGAAAAATCTAAAAAGGAGGTATCCATCGTTGAATAAATCTGTGTGGCTTCTGGTTTCTCTCCCGGAGCCTCTGTGTCAGAAGTCATAGGAACTGGAAACAGAAAACAATTGTTGTTTGTTATTAGTATATTAGTATGCAAGTACATGTAGATAGATATGTAATGAAATTAGTTGTTCATTAGGCATGTCACATATGAATATAAATAATGGGTATTGTAAAAAATGTTGCAAACCAGCACTAGATGTACTGGAGAATATATTTTATGTATCAAGGCATACTTATGTTCATGTAAACATCTGCTGGGAAATAATGGGTAATGTAAAAATGACTTATGCCATGCACGTTACCAGTTGCAGTCAAATCTGCCCTAGTTGTAGTTCATATATAATATGAACCATTTTATGTTTGTATCTGCGCATACTTATGTACATGTAAGCATCTGCTGGGAAATAATGGGTAATGTAGAAATTATAGACATATCTATGTTGTTACACAGCATTTCTAATTACAGTTGATACATTTTTAAGCAAATGGATTATTATAATAATATTCAGGTAAAAAACAGTTGTCTGCTTGTCTTATAACAAGGGCAAATAAATGAAAAGTGAAATTTGTCTTCAATATAGCCCAGCTATCTGTGTTATTGTAAATACGGTACATTTTGTAGTTCACCTCCTTCTTGTTTGTTGTGCAAGTGTGTTGTCACTTACTGTCTGAGTCAATGCCTCCGGATATGCCACAGAGACTGGGCCTGCCCTCCAGGTTCTGCAGCACAAGCTGCTCAGGGGTTGTAGGAGAGTCTGGGCGGGGTTCACCTCCAGTTGGGGGCCACATGGCATTGCTCCTCTTAGCTTTGGCTGTAATCATTGTCAGATTAGGTTTAATATTATTGTAACGCCAAACAGGGGGAGGGTATGCTATTCGATGCTCAGAGTCACTAAAATATGTACCCTTGTGCATGCGAAAGTACAAGTGTAGAATTTACATAGTCTCATTGATAACTTGGTAGCCCGAGTTTGTTTACAAAACATGTCTAAATTCCGCCCCCTAATTTGCATTACACTAACGAGTTCGCTTGTTACTCCAAGAAAATATATTGCTGATAAGTGATAAATGTGGGGAATACGTGTTAAGATAATTAACTAGTGATATGTAAACTATTGTGTTTAGTGTAATTCGCTTCAAATTAAGACTTCTGTGCTTCGCGTCTAGCTCATAGAAAACGTCAGCAATATTGACATTACAATGTACTTGTTCCTGATTGGTCAGTTCCTGGGGAGGACTGCCCTTTAACCTCTGACCCGATATTCCTTGCATATATAATTAGCTAACTGACGTTAACTAATGGCTAGAATTGGCATTGGTTTCTGAACCCGCGAAACTTATTCTTTCCATAACTCCGAAACTTTTGGAACAACAACTAGAAACTTTGTGTAAAACTGACAAGATGCATTTCAACAACAATAATAATTTATATATAACTTAAAAAGACACCTAGAAAAATACTCTAAATCGGTGCTTCCCAATCGTGACGACCTATAGTACCAACTGACTGCTAATCCTAATTAGAAATTCCCCAAATTCATTATTAATAATTCTTAAAAGTTCTGGTTAACATTTACAAATTACTTATATAAAATATACTGAGTCCTGGTGAATGTTCTGCCATCCTCACCTCTTTACTTTGTTTTGATTCCTGCATATAAATGTATAGCTGCTTGAAGCTTTTAAGAAATGCGTCTGTCACATTGTTTAGTATCAATATCAACAGTTTATCCAAGGTTTTAAAGGATTCAATTGATGGATCACTTTTTGTGGGTGATATTAATATTTCTTGTCGTGGTAAAAATATGCATACTATTGAACGACAACTGCAGTTGTGTTTAAACAAAATAAATAAATGGTGTCTTGAAAACGGCTTAGATTTTCTAAATCCAAAACTAATTGTATACATTTCTTGGGTTTAATTTTTGACTCGCACTTAACGTTTCTGCCACATATTAAAATCCCTTAAAACTAAATGCCTGAAGGCACTTGACTTGTTGAAAGTTGTTTCAAACTCAAAGTGGGGTGGGGATCAAGCTACCCTCCTCCACCTATATCGACCATTGGTCCGCTCGAAACTTGATTATGGCGCCATCGTATATGGTGGAGCCTGCAAAAGCAATCTAAAACTACTTGATTCTGTCCACCACCAAGGTCTAAGACTTTGTCCTGGATCTTTTAGAACTTCTCCTGTTGACAGTCTCTTCGTCGAAGCAGACGAGCCTGCTCTTGCCCAACGCCGTATAAAATTATCTTTACAATATCTTACAAAACTATATTCTAACGAATCGAATCCTGCATTTCACTGTATCTTTAATCCTCTTTATGAGGATTTGTACAACCAGAATTCTTATCTTGTTCCGCCACTGGGGCTCATAATGAAGCCTCGTCTTCTTTCATCTCCTCTTTGGCAGTTGGTTAGGCCACAAGTTGACCCCAATCTGACAAAGTTTAAAATCAGAGACTAATGAATACAATATAAACAAGAGTATAATCAATTAAACACTAAATATAATACATATAAATCCTTATTTACAGATGGGTCCAAGGACGGTGGCGCTGTGGCATGTGCCCCTGTCACTGGATCCAGAACAATATCTTCTAGAATACCGGATAACAGCTCTATATTTACAGGAGAAGCAAACGCCATCTTAACAGCTCTTAAATATATTAAAAGACACCCTAAACATAAACAATATATAATCTTCTCTGACTCTCTTTCTTGCCTTCAGGCTATTAAAAATCTTTCTTGCAAACATCCACTTTTAATTGAAATAATCGAATTATATAATGATCTTGCTACTGGCCAATGCGACATCGTCTTCTGTTGGTTACCCAGCCACGTTGGCATTTCTGGGAACACAATGGCCGATCTTGCTGCCAAGGCAGCACTACACAAATCTGTGACACCACTTCTTATCCCATACTCTGATTGCAAAGCTAGCATTAGAACCTACATCCGTGATCTGATGCAGAAGAAGTGGAACACCCAAGTAGGGATAAATAAATTACATGAAATAAAACCTTATATTGGTTACACCTACTTGGGTTGTCAATCCAGATTTGAAGAAGTCATTATGCGACGATGTCGCATTGGCCACACTAGATATACTCACGAATATTTACTGAAAGGCGAAGATCCTCCGTTTTGCATCCCTTGTGATGAAAGAATCACAGTCAAGCATGTCCTGCTTGACTGTGTTGAATATTCCATCACAAGGGATAAGTATTTCAATGTCAAAGCATTGAAGGATCTTTTTTATAATGTTAATTATCATTTAATAGTTGAACTTTTAAAAGAATTAGATTTGTTGACTGATCTGTTAATAGCTAAATATTTTATTGTTTGTAGTTCAGATTAGTAACTGAGATTGTTAGTGGCTGTACCGTCAAAGGGGGTTGAAATAGCGTAAAATTATTGTCCTCCTGAGAGGGTACGGAAGTCCCAAAACTTTCAAAGTAAAATGTAAATTTACCATATTTTAAACGTAGTATCTTTGTTCTTTTAACTGCCGGCTAAATTTTCCTACAATCGCCAGCGGCTGAAGGGATGGTGTCAATCCAACTAGGGTCCATGCAGGTAGCAAAAGTAATGTAAGTCCCCATGGTTCCTAGTATGGTGATCTACCTTCAGTTGTTGGCAATCTATAGCCCGTGTTTTAGACTGTATTGTCCTCTTTTTGAAATGTTTTAGCTTTCCTCGCTAGTTTTATTCATTATGTGATTCTCTAGTATTGTTACTGTCCATCGTGGACAGGTTTTAATCTTCAAAACGTTTTCTCTTTATTTTGTATAAATTGTTTTCGTCACGATATTGCTGAGATATTGCCGATGTGACGTTAAATATTAACTCACTCACTCCAAGAAATGCAGGCAGATTTACGGTAGCGTCTCCCTTTTATCCTTAATTACAATGACGTCACAATCGAAATGCACCCGCTGCAGTGACCATGCGAGAGATTCGTAAACAAAGATGGCGGCACCCATAAAACAACCTGTCATGCTGTTTGACGATTCTAACAACTATAGGGCTTACGCACATATTGTATTCTGACAGTAAGGTAATAAATGTATTCTCTATATACTTGAAAAATAGTTTAAAGATGTACAATCGCTTCCTAATGGCATCATCTAACCTAGTACTCTACCGGAAGTATGATGGACATTCGATTCGACAGTTACGTTCAGAATGACGTAATGACCAGTACGTTTTAGAATAAGCTAATGATACCCCATTGCGCTTCAACTTTCCCCCTTATTTACACTTGTGAACATTATTTACATCTGGTATATATATATATTTACACAACAATGTACAGTGAAGAATCTATTCTTCGGCTGGCGTCCACCACTCTACTACGGATATGCTAATGTGGCGGACGCCAAGGCCACCAGGGATCTCCTCCTTCCGCTCCTCTTGGCGATCTCTTCTGAGCCCTGGTGGCCAGTTAAAAAGATTATTTGGATCCTTCCTTCTTCTTTCGTCTCTCTCCCGCTCTTTCTCTTCCTTTCTGTCTTCCTTTTTCTCCTCTCTGCTCACCTTTTCACCCTCTTCTTCCACTTTGTTTCCTTCTCTTCCTCTTTCTTTGTCTTCCTTTATCTCCTCTCTGCTCACCTTCTCCCCCTCTTCTTTTCTTTGTTTCCTTCTCTTGCTCTTCTTCATTTTCCTTTTTCTGTCTTTTGAAGTTTCCCGATGAAGAGGAGGAGGAGCTCCTGGTTCGCTTTTCCTCGTCCTCACTCTCGGAAGAA